TTCCCGCCGTCCCCGCCCTCTCCCGCGGAGGCTGGGGCCGGGGCGGGGTGGGGGCCGGCCCAAACCTCATTAATCAGAGGCTCCTTGTGGATGCAGGCGGAGGAGATGCCACCCAGGGCGGGAAAAGGGGCGCGCAGAAGGGGCGGGGGCCAGCCGCGGCGTGGAGGGTCCTTCCCTCCCGCTTTTACTCAATTAATTGGGCTCGGAACGTCCGCCTGGGAGGGGATCGGAGGAGGAGACACTGCAGGGGACAGGGGCCAGTGACGATCCAGGCCCGATACCGCCCTCGGCTCTGGGCGCAGGGAATGGGGGAACACCCCAGTTTGGCCCTTCATTGCCCCGCCACCGCCACACTCGCGGCGGGCAAGAAAGGGTAATGAACTTGGCTGCCCTTTCGTAATCCCCTCCTACCAACACACACTTCGGCGAGCGGATCCTGCGCCCAGACTCAGGGTGGGCGCGCGCCCGCCCGCCGCAGCGGGTTTGCGCCTGGGTGGTTCCTTGGTGCCCCCGCCGGCGGCTTGTTTACGATCATCACATTAGTCACCGGTGAGCTCTGGATCGATATCAGCTTCGTGCCCCTTCCTGGAAGGAGAGCCGGGGTGCGGGAGGGGCCGTGGCGCCCCCAACTCCCGGCCACACCGGTCGCGGGTGGCTCCCAGGGCCCCACCCTCCAGGGGTGCCCTTCCCCCGCACCCGGGTTGAGGGCTTTTTCCCGGGCGTCATCAGCACCATTCACTTGTCCTGAGAAGTTGAAATTCTCTGTTAGGGATGTAATAGAAAGAGAAGGACGTAATAATAATAAAAAGAAATGCTGTTTCCATAGTACCGGGAAGAGGGTGGGCTCCAGCGAGAAAACAGCTTCGGGATCCTGGTGCCCATGGAGGGGTATCCCCCACCTCCGGGGTACCCCTCTCTCCCCCCACCGACCCTGGACTGCCTGCACAGAGGCGCTGGGAATGGGCGGCTCCAGACCTGTACGTCCTTACCAGGCAGCAACTGCTGCGTTGAAGATGCCCTTGAATAAGTGCTTTTATTTTTATATCTGCGCCGCTTTTGACTTTCAAAGTGGATTACAAATAAGAACCTACAATGGCTTCTTGAAAATGACAGAAGTGAGGGCTACCGGTGAGGGTGGGAGTTCCTGGGTTGAGATCCTATCAGGCTCAGGGGCTTGCAGAAACTAAGAAAGCTAACAAAACAAACCCCTGTCTACTTAAAAAAAAAAATGTTGTCTTCATGAAATAATTTGAAACAATAATGTGGCTATTTTTTTTATTAAGCCCTGCCTTTGAATGTCCTCTGTAGTCTATAGAAAACTTTATTTTTTTTAAGGTGTAATGAGATTTTAAATCTAAGGAAAATAAGTAAAGATTGTAATTTTTGAAAACGTGTTATATTACAACATATTATAATATAACATATGTGTAAGAATGTGGCAAAGATTCTGCTAGCTAACATGTGTAAAGAGAACCCTACTTACACGAAGATCATAGCATTTATAGCATGCATGCACTTATGAGAAGCATACATTTAGGAAGAATAATAAGTGAGGCAAACATAATAGACTTTGCTCAAAGAAATATATTTGAAGTTGCATCTCCATTTGAAACCATGCTTTAAAAAATACGGCAAGAATGCCATTTGTAAG